TGTTTCTTTTAAAGCAGATAGCAGTCTGCTATAACGTATTGATGTGTCTGCTCTGTGCACGAATGTCAGCAGTGACGCTGCCTTTATTATTTGTGTCCTGTTGTTGTGATGAGTTGTAATGTGTTTTCAAGCATTTGTTTGAGTACATATAGGTTTAGTTGTGTGCTTCGTTGTAAATCAGGACACCAGGTATAATGACAAGTTGCCAGTTTGTCCTCTAAGTTGAATTTGTTGCTATGGAGTTAACTGCTACATTTGAGGATTCTGTTGTCTTGCAGATGACTAAATATTGTCACTTTAGGTTGAGTCTGCACAAAATGGCTGTATAATTTAACCAACAGACTGTTAGCTACTGCACATAGTTGATTGGCTTGGGCGAATCCTTCGCATAATTTAGCAAATTTTTAAAGGGACATTGCTTCTAACAAAACTGGAGTCTCTTACAGATTCTGACTGTGTATGTTGTAACACCGTAAAATAATTATATCTTAAATGTATTTAATTAAAGTGAATAATGTAAAACATGCACACACCCTTAAAAAAAAGCGCAAAATGGTAATTATGTTGTCAAACTGATATTACTTAGCAGCTTGCACATATTTTTGGTTTATTTTTATCATGTCAGAAGTGACAGCTTTGACCATTGCGCCATGTTCTACATTGTTCACTTTTTAAACTTATAGCGAAAGTAATAAAAAAAATATGTAGTGCCAAAATGACTGACTTAACACAAGGCAGAGTACATTAGTCTATGAACAGCATCATTATTCGGCGAGCTTTTTTGTCAACACTTCAGATAAATTGAAGTAGCGAGAAAAATGCATGGAATACGACTATCTTGTCAGTTGGGTAGTGCTTAGAGTGTCTATGCTTGGTTTCTAATAATAACTTGTGTACACGTAGTTTCTACTAAACACGGATAAGACAGTGTGCTACTTAGACTTACTGCACGTGCTTGCATGTTTTTTCAGAAGCATGGCGTGCTATCTCTCTGCTCTCATAGACTCACTTGCTGACTGTTGCTTGAAAGTAAAGCTCATGTGCTTCTGGTCAAAAATTAACAGCCATGATCAACCAGCTCCTTGCCTGAAATATCCTGGATAATGTCTTCATGAAGTGGAGCCAGCAAGCTCAGCCATGTTTTTTTGTAATTCACGTGAAACTAACAAAATTGCTAACCAAAAGAATCATCCACTGCAGCATTTGATATGTTCACATTCATTTAGTACATTTTTAAGTGTGATAGGTGCATCGTTTGTGCACAAAAAGTAACAACCAAAATCTAATGTAGCCCATTATAAGAAGTTGTTATAGTTTGCTCTGTTTCATCGTTATCATATAGAAAGTAAGTCACCTGCAGAATATCACAACCGGTTGAAAACACTAGAGCCCTCGCCAGTTCACATAGTTCACATCTCATGCATTTTTATAAACAGAAATTCTTCAGTGTTATGTGACCACGGTTGTGTTGGTTAACCCTTGCCACATCGTCTATTTAATGTGCCTTCCGTTACTGTTCTTTCTAAACCGCCGTGAAATTTCCCCAGTGTTTAGAATATCAATTGTATTTAATGTTTAAATAAAGGTCAGTATCACAGCACATTCCCATAAGCGCATAAGTTGCAGTTCCGATTGTACAATAACAGTCTGATTGTATATGTGTCTCACCTTCGCCCTGTGTTGGTCATTGGCAAGATCCCCTGTCACTCCTTGCAACACCTTTCTCTGTGATGATCCCTCTGTGCCTCCGCACTATTCACTCGCCCCCCCCCTTTTCCCCCCAAGAGCCCTTACCACATCTAGCTCTTAATGCATCAATTCACCACTAAGTTGGGCAGAACCAGCCAGTCTATCTGCCTGTTCATTTGCCAGTACACCGGCATGATCCAGAGAAAAATTATCCAAAGGACACTACCGCCGACTTCTGAAGCAATGCTTGCCACTCTTCACGAAGCATACCTGTCTCAACCTTTCTCAACATGCTGTATAAGTCACTTACACTTAGACATATGTGTACAGCAGATGCTCAGCCCAGTGGATGACTGCAGTGACTGCCTCCACCTTCATTCTCAAACTAAATGTTGTAGGTATCATTTGCTAGCCTTTGTTGCACTAAGCAAAATGTATTCGCGTTTGGTAAGAAACCCCATGAACTTCGTGTGTCTCTCAGCACAGAGTCATCTATACAGATAATCACATCACCTGGGCGAGAATTGTCGTGGATGATTTGTTGAACTTCTGATTCATGAGCACCTGCTGGCCAGTCCCTGCACTCACAGCTTACAGTGTACAAGTCTGCACACGTCTGGTTCTTTGCTGAGACACTTTGACCCACTCATCTCCTCCCCCAAAGTTATCAAGCTTGCACACGGGTCTAATTGTGTCTTCAGCTTGCACCATCCAAGGCTTTCTGCAGGGGATGTTTCTTATGTGTGGCTACTCTGGGATGTAACTTTGCTTGCAGCACTTTGAGTCGTCAGCGGTGCAAATGTACACCGCATATTTACTACCTGCGTGTCTCTTGTATATCCCAGAATTACCCTCATGGCTTCATTCTGTATGTGTTCAATATCAGCTGATTCTTTGATATGGTGAGCATTCAAAGTTTCTAATCTATCATCGAGAAGATTGAAAGCTGGAACATTGTGAACAGAATTCTTTATTTCATGTTCATTGATGTCATAATCTTAAGTGCATTGAGTTATTCTTGCCATTTCATTGTAACTGCTTCGACATGGTCTCTAAAGGATAGGCTTCTATCGAAAATGATATCCAGGTCCCTCAGTTTGTTTTCTCTTTTAATCGGTCTGTCATTAATTGTTAGACTTGGAACAGTAGCTCTTACTATTATATTGTCCAAAGAGCATCATAAAATAGCCGTTTTTACTGGTTGATGACACCACGCATTTCTGCACACCAAACAGTCACTTTGTCCACAGTCGCCTGCAGCTCGTGAGCTGTCCGTTGCCTATTCTCTCCCCTGCGTATATGCAAAAACATCACCTGCAAATGTCAATATCCGTCGAACCTATAGTGCTTCAAATTCTGCAACCCTGCTTTGTACACATTAAAGAGCACTGGTGTAACTGGAGAACCCCGGGGTAGTCCCAAGATGATATTGCATTCTTCTGAGCTCCATTTAGCAAGGCAGAGGATGACATTATGTGAATACAGGACCGCTGCTATCCATTTCAAAAGCCAACAGGGCTACAACTCTGTTGTAGACTTCCTCAAGATCAAGAGTCCCCACCACCGTCTCCTGTCTCTTCTGGAACTGCTCATAAGCATCAATAAGAAAATTGTAGAGAAAACAATGTATACCTTCTCCACATTGGATGCTCGCTGCAATGCATCCAGTACTGTCTTTGGGTTTATAGCATGTTAGGCCCAATCTTTTTGTGGCTCTCGTACCACTGAAAGCCACGCCCACAGTCATTGTCCAAACTGACCTTTGCAGAAATGACCACTGGTACCTCAGACAATTGACGGTGACACCATTTAACTAGCTTCTAAACCACAGAGCCGCATAGTTTGTTTTGTCATCAAACAAATCCAGATATATCATGATATCATCGTAAAATCTGCACGATTGTTATCACACATGGCTGACTATGTCTTCAGAGAATGGTTAATGGTTCACCTAGAGCATGACATGAAGCATGAAACTTCCCAGCTGCCAACATAACCCATATGGATCTTCAAAACGCCTGTACTCACACACTGAAATAAAATAGTTATTTGTGTTTAACTCAAGGACACTTTCCCTCCTCTTCAAGCATATTAAGCATATGATGTTAGATCTATATTTTACAATCGACCCTCGGTGGCTGATGTGGTCAAAACAGCATCGGCCACCTTTACTTCTCATGACTTTAACTTGACATTTTGGTCGACCTGGGACCCAATGTATTACTGGAAAAAAAGGTTTGGCTCCATTCGTATTTGAACCCTTACCTTCAGGTCCACAGGAGGGCATATAGCCACGACACCAAGGCGACAAACCAAAGGGTGAGCCACCGAACCTATTACCTTTAGAGCATAAAGCAACTGGCTTAACCACTTGTCTTGTCATTCTCATTACATGTAATGTGTACACAAGTATTCAAAATAATTGCTGTCTGAAATTCCGAAAATTAATACATTTGAAATATTTCCCCCCATTGATTCTGCATGCCATTGTTGTGTTAAAAGACAGTTCATTTATATTTTGTCAGGGTTTCAAAACATTATTTGTTATGCTGACATGATTTGTACATAACAGATACGTTTTTGTTAAATAATTTTCTTGTATTCAATATACCAGTTGTTAATTTTAAAATAACATGTTTTTATTTCTCTTCTTTTTTCTCTCCCGACCCCTCTCGACCTTATTATAAACGAACTCTGCATGTCACATTTTTCACATGACAACACACATTATTCGTGTATACGTACGCCCACTTACTATCATTGTTTCTATTTCAATTGTGGTCTCACACATTATTTTTACCTGTCCCATATTTACTCACACAAACGCACGGCCACTGTGCTTTCAATAATCTTTCTTTTTATACTTCGACTTCTGTTTTCATTTACATACATTTTCAATCCTCCGTTGAATTTACTAAAACCTGTTCTGTTTTTCTTGTACATGTGATTTCCATCTGTTCTGTGTTGTAAATTCAATAATGCATATTCCAACTAAAACATATTTGGTACTGCTATTACCAACACGCATGCTGTCCACAATGTTTATTTTTGTTAACTTGTGTTCTGTTGTTTTCATCGTTTTTGTTCATCCTTTGTATTCACCTATACTTTGGTTATTTTCTATACATTGTCCTTCACTTGCATGACGTCACCAAATGAACACATACCTGGCATATCTTTGTCTATGCTATGTCTTCATCAAACACGTAAAACACTCTTAACAATATTCACAACCGCTCACCCGTCTCTCTTACACCTGGCTACTTTGTTGTCCTCCATCCCCTTGCTTTTGGGGAACTACTACTGAGCAGTTGTTTGGTGGTAACACTGACAAAGATACGGAGAGAGTACATTTCCTCAACAGTCCGTTTGTGGCACGATATGTCCGATTCCAGCCAGTGGAGTGGCGAGGGAAGATCAGCATGAGGGCAGGTCTCCTGGGCTGTCCATTTACAGGTGCAGTATTTTTGTGTGTGAGTGTGTATGTGTGTGTGTGTGAGATCATAGCTGTCATATTAGTCTTGGATTTGAATTCTTTGTCATTTTTTTTTTTTTTGTTTTTTTTTTTTTGTTTATCCCTTTAAACTTTAGTGATCAATTGTATCAGTTGACTGTCTTAAGATTTTGTTACTGAAAATAACTGAAAATATTTAAAGAACGCAGCAGGCAAAATTTTATTGCTGACAATTATCTAAAACTTTTGGGACAAATCTATGGCTGAAAGTGTGCTGAAAGATAAAGACAGAAAAATTGTGTAAGGAATCGGAGTTTATGAAAATATATATATATATATATATTTAATATCCAGAAACCATGAGTTGTTAACCCTTTGGCACAGTACTATGGATATCGCAACCTTCGGCCTTGATCCCATGATAGGTGCCGTAAATCTGGGAGAAATGTGGCTTTTCTGCCTACCCCCGGGCGTGAACCCGAACCACAAGAGTTCCTCACCCGGTCGCCGTGGAGTCATGTTTAACCAACTGAGCTAGCGAGCCGGGCATCTATACAAATAAAATGTGAATGTCCCTCTGTTAGTAGTAGCTAATCTCTGAAAGTTCTTCACCAACTGCTTTCAATTTTCGACACAACGTTGCATTCGAATACAGGCGTGTTTTTAATATGAGAGTGTAGCACGAATCACATAACTTCAGCGACGATCACATTGTTTTTTTTTTTTTTTGGGGGGGGGGGGGGGGGGGGGGTGGTTCGTTTTCACGTTCCCGGTGCAGGTTTTTAATTCCTCTGGTATTATTTCATTGTGGGGATCATTGCAAATTGAACTGTATTGATTGAACTGCTTTTGAATGATCATCCTGCATGAAGCTGTATGAGAAAATAAACTATTTCGTTATGGGCACGACAAGTTGTTTAATGAAAATATGGACAAGTAATTGGTGAGTACTATCATCACTGCTTTCCTGACAATGTTTCGAATTGAGCTGTGTCGTTTACAGTTTGCTGCGTTCATTGTGTGTGTTTCCAAACTTTGACTGTTACCCCAGAAATCTTATAGTAGTTGCTGTTGTTGTGGTTGGTCGGGTTGTAGCACCATCGGGCTTTCATGCGGGAGACCTGGGTTCCACTCCCAGTAAGGTGATAAGAGTTTTTCTGTCGCGGGCATAATTAAACATCATGATCTAAACAGTCCGTGGCGACAGCACTAGCTGTGAGTCTTCTTTGGCTCACGACTTCCCTGCCTGCACCGACTTAGACAGGCGATTAAACAGGCAGTGGTGTTTTAAATATTACACTAACCGCATTTACTTCATATTATAATTAATTTTTTTTTTTTTTGGAAAGACGTACACTAATAAAATTTACTTTGAGCTCTTTAAAAAAAAAGCTTCGGCATGTGATTTTATTCTTTTAACGTATCCAGAAACCATAAGTTGTAAACCCTTTGGCTCGGTACTATGGATATCGCAACCCTTCGGCCTTGATTCCATTATAAACAAAAAACCATTTTTTTGGGGGGGGGGAGGGGGGAGGGGGGGGGGTCCAGATAATACACTTTAAACGACCACAAATACAATGACACAACTAATTGTTGTTTTTCCATACCTCGCTGGTTGGCATATGTGGTCCCAGTCTTTAACAGAAACGTCTCCAATGCGGTGTTTTCCGCTTTTTCGATTATTTTATTTGTTACATTTCTAAGAGTTGTATACCTCTTACGGTTTTCCTCTGCTGAATTTTTAAGAATTCTTGAAGTGCTTGTTTTCTTTTTTCCAGTGTGGTTGTACAGTGGTCATTCCACCTCTTTACCGGGTCCTTCTTTCACTAATATTTAGGCTGTCTGATTTTCTGTTCATTAGTTAGGTGACTTAGCATGTTTTTTTTTTTTTTTTGTTTTTTTTTTTGCTATATGTTTCAAAACTGTTTTTAATGTTTGGTTTGTAATCTTCTCGGTGTATTGTTTTATATTCTCTTGCTCTTTCTGCACCTTGTTCTCATTTTCTAACTCTTCCCTGAATGCCTCCCAGTTTGTTTCCTCATAAATAAGTCTTGGCTCGTTTTTTTCCCTATGTCTTTGCCTAGTGAACTCTTGGTTCCTATTATTATTGGCAAATGGTAAGAGGTTGTATCTGCAGCTATCTCTCAATTTATTCCTGACAAATTCTGTGACGTTATGGTTAAATCTATTGCTGTATCTTTTCCGAAACGGTTTATCATTGTCATAGATCCATCGTTTGTGATTGTTAAATTGTTGGATTATACAAAGTCCACGATATTTCTGCCGGATAGGTCTGGGTTTTTTTTTTCACCCCAAAATTCTTGGTGACTATTGAAGTCCCCCCTCTATGATGGTTGATGGGCCTATTGTTCTCTTTATCTCATTAGGATTCGCCTTCCTTAAATGTGCATGCCGTGTGTAGACATTAACTATTTTTAGATTTAATGGACTGCTATCTTTGCCAGCTACTAATTCCTTCTAATTTTTCTGTATGAAAATTGTCATGTTTTAACACTCTGATATTTTCTGGTATTCGAGCTGTGCAGTCGTTCATATGCATCTCTTAATTCTGTGTAGAGTGGGGACTCCTTCATACGTCTCTTGATGTGTGCTCTCTCGCCCAGTTATCTGTATTCTCTAAGAGCTGCTTCGTAATAGATGGGATGTACATGGCCATCCCTTATCTCCAACCTGGGCGGGTACATCCGTTCATTGACCCGTCAAAGCACTTCTTAAAAGGCGGCCTCGCTGAACTCGATACTGGTTCCCATCTGTGCGATTTCTTTCTTCGTTTGTATCTATTTCTTAGTTTTCAGTGCCTTGATCGGTGGTTCTTGTTTTAGTGGCTGTGCCTTTGTCAACTTGGTGCCTCTGCGCTAGTTTTTCCATCTCTGTTCTTTATTTATTTATTTTTTTTTTTTTTTTTGCCTTGTTGACGTTTTTTTTTTTTTTTCTGCTCTGTTGGCTGCTTCTCTTTTCTTTTGTAACAGGGCACGCTCTGTTCCAGCATCTAGCTCTGCTGCTTCAGCTTCTGTTTAAGCCTGCACCAGCTGGGTGACTTCATGGTAAGCAGCTTCACGCGCTTATTTTAGCTCCGCCATTACTATTTTTTCTCTCCACTCTTTCTTCCTGCCGGCGAACTGCTTTCTGGTCCTGGGCTGACTTGAGTTGTGCCAGTAGGTCTTGAAGCTTTTGTGTGGCTACTGTGATTTCTGCTAGTAGGCTGGTTTGCTGTGCGAATTCTGCTAATGTTTGGGAGATCAGGCCTAGCATCTCAATTCTGTCAGTGGAGGCCTCAGCTCTGTAGACTTTTAGCTTCTGGAACGTTCTGATGTCGTTTATGAGTTCTAAGATTTCTTGTGAGATGATAGTGTCTTTTGAGGCTGTGCCAGCCTTGTCAGTCTTTTTTCGTGCAACCTGCCTTTTGCATTTCCTTAAGGTAAGGGCAGCCCAGATACCTTGCGATATGAGCTCCTGCGCAATTGATTCACTTTCGGTTGGCATTGGGCTTCCTGCAATCGGTGTTCATTTTTGCCAGGGGCACTCCTTGAAATCGTGTTGTTTTGAACAGTACTGGCACGATGGGTTGCTGCAGCAGGTCGAGGTGATATTCCACGCCCTATTACAGCGTAGGCACTGCATAATTTCTGAAGTATGGATTTCTGGCTGCTGCTGCTTCCTGTAGGTCACGACAGGGACGGCTTCAAGAGGTGCTGGCGCCGTGACTGGGGCGGCTTCTGGTGACGGCATCGTCTGCTCAGCTGGGGTTGAGGTCTGGACCAGCTCACGAGCGCGAGTCGGGGTGTCAGGTGTCATCAGACGTGAAGGCACGCCATTCACTTAGGGGAGCGGGAAGGTGGTCTATCTTTCTTTGTGGCAGCATGGCGATCAGCTTGCTTTCGGTTTGTCTTGTTACCGCGTGGCATGTTGAAATAATGCTATAGCTTGGTCGAGTTGGGGCTAGCAAGTCTTGTTAGGAATCCTGATAAGGACTCCCAGAGTACATTCCCAGGAGTACATCAGGCTATACTATCGGAAATAGTGCTTTTTTTTAAAGCCAACATGAAAACCAGTCAAGACAGTTAAAATCAAGTGAATCAAATGTCAAGGTAAGATTATCGACAATCTAACAGTCAATAGTGCATAACACAAACAAGACGAGACAGGCTGATTGCCATCGGGCGGTCCGCGAATGATAGATTGCTTCAGGCTAGACAAGGCCTTTTTTCAACTTGTATCCCTCTATCTGTCGGCTCTGTGGCTAAGTCGATGCGAACACTTCGCTTCGTTATGCCGGGATGCCAGGTTCGATCCCAGCTGCGGGCAATGCGCCTTGCGTTGGTTTCGACAGTGGTATCAAGAAAGCCGACCGTCCAGAAGCAATGGCAAACTACTGGACGTAAATTTGCCTAGAGAAACCACACAACAGCCAGGGGCTGTTAGGGTTGGTTCTGCAACGTCCTCTGGAGGATACGCAACAACCTTTTAATCCCTCTATCTGCCAGATTTTTTGTTCACTTTAAGCCTAATAAAAATTTATATAACAGCTGCTCTGAGCCTGTTACAAATATACAAAAGTGTGTTGTTTGCTATACTAATGTCACTGTGTATTTGCTTTCAAAATATTTTTTTTCATGATAATTAAAGTATTCTACAGAAAACAAACATTGCAATAAAATATGTACAAATAATTTTATAGACAAAAATATTTATTCACATTTAGTAACATCCATGTGAGACTCTTCATGACATAATTTAAGGTAGAAGAGATAATAAGATTGCAGGTTTACTATTGGGCAGGTGAAACAAATTACTAATGCACTTACTTACATATTAACTGTTTACATGCATGACCTTTATGGCCAGATAGAGCAGCTGAATAAGTATGTTATTTTTAAAAACTAAGGCGAACTATTGCTTCAATAAATAAATCAAAAATAGACATCATCGCACTCATAACATTCCAATATGTGCTTCTATCTCTCCCTCAATAGGCAAAAAAAGAGTTCCCATACTGATGGTGCCAGTCGTAACCTGATCAAAAAATTGCCTGCTCTCTTCACACCCCCATCCAACCCTCTTTTCTGCAGGTGGATATGCATCAAGACCTTTAGCTCACTCCCAGTTGAAACAGTCTCTTCAGATGTGGATGCTTTGTCTGTTCTGTTGCAGTGTTTACTTGATCCCTGAGAGCCTCCACCATATCCACTTCATTTTTACAAAATAGCCCATCGCCCTGAGGGTTGGCAGTAGCTAATCTTTCAATCTGCTCACTAATTTGCACATTGAACCTTCTAGGCATAACTATTGTTTAACACTACTAAATATATCTTTTAACAGGAGACTGCAGCGAAGGCTTCATGAGAGTCAATGATGATACTCCCTGTAGTAAGTATTTATTTTCTTGCATTACATAAAGTAAGGGTTTTTTAAAATTTATAGTTCCATAATTTTATCTAAGAGAACATTTGAGAGCTATTTTATGTAATATTATTACAATATCATGAATAATATAAATATAATAGATTAATATTTATGATAATAGTCTTCTTCACTTCCGTGTTTATTGCTTTGGATATCTGATAGCTTTGAGGTTCTGTTTCTTGCTCTCAGCCATAGACAACATAACTAGCTGTTGTAGAAATTTTCTGATGTTATCTTACCATCATGTTTTTGATTTCCTTCTTGCTCTGCGTTCCTCTCCTCTTTTGGTGTATACCTTGTGTGGTATGTTGTCAAAAGGCATTCTCTTAAAGTGGGCAAACCATTTTATTGCTATCTGTATTTATTTAATTTAACTTTAGTTCTGCACTGACGAAGGGTAGGAATGAATATGCTTTGTTTCAGAAGATTCTTTATGTTGACTGGAATTTCCTTGTGCTGTAAGAGGGCGGTTAGCTGTCTTAATTCTTAGTTTGCTTTACTGCAATGAATGTTAACTTCTGGATCCAGCGTTATATTTTCTGTGAATATTTCTGAATATTTAAACTGAGATGTCTGGTAAATACATTTGTACTCTACTGCTATAGAAAAAATAGGAGGAACCCAATATATCCACAGTTTGCTGCTAAAAACAGTTTGTCAGAGAATATGAAAAAACATAGTGACAACAAGCAGTTAACTGAATACATATACATGGTGTCAATTGGCGTTGATTCATCACTGATTGTTTTTCTTATGAAAATAGACACAATCTGTGCTACTTTTGTTTATGCATTACAAATGGACGTTTTTTAGAGGGAAAAGGGGGGGGGAGGGAGAGGCGGAGGTGGACACAAGTAACAATTTTGTGTGTATGTGCACTAAGCATTAAGTATAAGTTGTTTAAGGTAGTCTAGTATTTCAAGAACTTTTCATTAACCGGTTACATTATTCTTCTCAAGTTGAAAACCTAGCATTCAAAAAAGACAGCTGGATTAACAAGAAGACATTGTATAAGCGACACATTCGTCACAAGCTGCCAGAGGGTCATGCTGACCGTGCTGTTGATGGAGACCTTGACCTCAGGCTGCAGAGCTGTACTATTCTAGATAATCTGTATGGGAAATACCCACTGTGGACTGTTGACCTAGGTCATAAAACAACAGTGTCTGGTGTTATCATCTACACTTGGCAGGGAGATGGCCAAGGTAAGCCTTCATAGACTTGCGTCATTTACTCAGAGGAATAACTAGTGAAAACAATTTATTGGAGACCATATTATATGCCCTTCAACCCGCCTCCCTTGTTTCTCCTTTCTCATCCAAAGTTACAAAATGAAAATGGAATTTCAAGTTTCATTTTTATTTCATTGTTGTTTAACAATAAAACTGTGACTATCAAATTTCATAGTTTTTTAATAAATATGTATTTCACTTTGCTGTTCTATTAGAAAAACTAACATTATTTCAAAATGACCTGAAAAGGTTTGATAGGATAGTCATTTCTATAGATGATAGTGTGTGTATATGTAAAATACTATATATATATATATATATATATATATATATATATATATATATATATATATATATATATATATATATATATATATATATATATATATATATATATATATATATATATATATATGTGTGTGTGTGTGTGTATTTACAAATATGTATATATATGTATATGTATATGTATATATATGTGTGTGTGTGTGTGTGTGTGTGTGTCTTATAGAGATAAAAAGAGGAGTAAGTCAGAGATTTGTGTTGTCCTTAACGCTTTTCAACATAAACAGAAAACATTTTCAACAAGTTAAAGAATTGCATAGACTTAATATCAATGAAAGAACGACATACATGCTGTTGACACAGGCCTACTAGCAGAAAGTGAGCAGGAATCACAAGACATAGTGGAGCAAGACAACAGGCAGGGTGCAGGTTACTATACTATGCATTTCTCGACATTAACATTCAAAAAACAAAATCTTGAATGTGGAATTGAGATTTGACATCACAGCAATATGGACATCCCCATAAGCGCTCCTTCTCCATCTTCAGCAGCAAGCAAAGAGTTAAAATTCCGATGGCACCAGTAACAGTCTGATTGTATATCTGTCTAGCCTTTCCCCTGAGTGTCGAGTGTCAGCCAGATACCCTTCTAACTCCGCGCAGTGTCATTCTCCTTAGACCGTAATGATCTGTCTGTGCCTCGGCACTGTTCACTCGCTCTCAAAAGACCCTCACAACATCCAGCTTGTCATCCATCAGTTCACCACCAAGTGGATCAGAACCAGCCAGTCTATCTTGCTGCTCATTTCCCAAAACACTGACATGACTTGGAGAAAATATCCAAAGGATGCTAACTACTCGGTACCTTGATGCTTGCATCTCTGCACAGAGGATGCCTGACTCCACTTTTCTCAGCATGCTCTGTGAGTCGGAAAACAAAAAACATTGGTAATTAACAATGGAAACGAGCGACTAGGAGAGATGTTAGAACAAGTAAAAAGTTTCTCCTGTCTTGGACACATGGTAACAGATGATGGCAGAATTGAAAGAGAAATTGGAAAGAGAATAGGAATGGCTTAAACGGTCTTCAGAAAGATGCACAATTTACTGACAACTAGAGAAATAAACAACACATTAAAAATGAGAATTATCAAATGTTTTGTATCCTCAACCCCTTGTAAGGCACAGAAACTTGGACAATAAACAAGCAACTAGAAAATCGAACTGTCTCTGTAAATGTGAATCTACTGAAAAATAGGTTGTATTTCATGGAAACAAAAACAGTCAAATACAGAGGTTCTGAAATGTGTAGTCTACTGAAATAAATTTTAAAAAAGAGACAATTGAAATACTGTGGCCACATTTACAGACATAATATGCTTTTAAAAACTATACTGGAGTGAAAAATGGAGTGCAAGAGAGCAAGAGGTAGTCACTGTTAGAAGTAGGTGGACAACGTCAAGAGACGAACCAACAGCAGTCTGAGAGAGTGTACAATCAAGACAAGAGATAAAGCATGTTGGAGCATTGTAGCGAACATCCTGTGTGGATACAGCATCCGACTGATGATGGTGATGATGATTTTATATATATATATATGTCTGTGTGTGTATGTGTGTGTTTATATATATGGTGTGTGTGTTTGTGTGTGTGTGTGTGTGTATATATATATATATATATATATATATATATATATATATATATATATATATAATTAACTTAACTATGGAACTGATATGAATTTTATATCTATATATATATATATATATATATATATATATATATATATATATATATATATATATATATATATATATATATATATATATATATATATATATATATATATATATATATATACACATACAAACACAGAGCTATACATACATATATATATATATTCATATCAGTTTCATAGTCAGTTTACTATTTCATAGTGAATTGTGAGACAATGATTGTCAGCTTTCATAGTTATTTATCAGTATTCATTTCACTTTTCTTTTCCATCAGAAAAAGCAGCATCCTTTCGAGAATACATGAAAAATCTTGACCAGCTTGTGGTTTACGTGGATGACAAAATACAGAAGAAAGATGATGAGCATGATGAGTCCTACGCTTCTGGTAACATGTGCAACTACATCTCATCCTTGAATAATGCCCTTTTCAACGAGAAGCTGTTGCTACAGTGCGTCAGGACTCACGTCGGCAGATATGTTCTTATCGAAGCCTGGGGCAGACAGATAGGCTGGTCAAGGTTGTTTGGGGCCGTTTTATGTGAAGTTCAAGTCTTCAATTGATTCCACCAGATTGCAACTTAAGTTTTTGCATCCTTATGTCAACATCTTTTTCAAGAAAATGCTTCTGATCTCTACACTTGGATGATACTAAATGTGAATATAAGTAACTGGCAACTATTTTTCAGCAGTTGTTAACAGTTTTTCTGGGAAGCAACATTATTTCATGAGTAACATTATTCACTCTGTATTTTGCATAGTGATGTATGTAGCAAGTATCACAAGGATGAAGATTAGTCTAAAGAACAAAATAAGTCAACGTAAAAAATACATTTTAAAATCAAACATAATTTACTCACTAAAGCAATCTATCATGAATTATAAATAATAATACTTCAGGTATGAAGACAAACTTTTTTAAATATTAGTTAATTTGGACAGGATCATATAATTTTTGTGCTTATTTTATTTTGTGTACCAAAAGCAATTTATGCAAAGAAATTACAACCCATGTTTAAGTAGCAAAATGGCAAGAAGTTATGTTAGTATGGGCATTACATGCGAAGTGTCTTCGAAAATTATCCAACCTATGGCCAGTAGAATATATTACTAACTATGAGCTTTGAAACCTTAATTCCCTTCAAAGCAGTCTCCGAGCACATCCACCATTATTGAAAGTAGAAGGTGACTGAGCTTAACTGGGTATTCCATGTAATTTCATCATGTAACTCAAATTTGGTCCTTTCCTATAGCATTTTCAGCTTTCTTAACAGTAAAGAAGATCATTTCAGGAGAGTTTAGAGCTTGAAGAGTAATGTGCTTGACCAAGAAAATCTTAATGATATGTAAGAATGAAAAGGTTCAGTGTCATGATTGGGCTACCAAGCTCTTGTTACCCACAAACAAAAACAAGACTGGTCATTCTGCACGACACAGCATCAGGTAGTACAGCCTGGTAATGTTTGGCTTTAAGGACTCATGATACACCACACACAATCAAAACAAGGTATCAGCAAAATTTTATTTAACTAAGCACACCTTGCTTTCTTTGGTCTTAAGGTGAATGCCTGTTTTCTCCATGATGGTTGTACACTGGTTTCATGTGCGTGTATGATTGAAAATATGCTCATCACCAATAACCAGTTTTTTTGCACATTTTACTATGTCCTCCACAGCTTCCAGCTAGAATTGCTTCTGTTCTCTACATGAACAAATTCTCCACCTTGGATGTAAGTTTTCAGGTGCTTTCCTGATATACCAGGAATTTTGGTTGGTGGTCATACCATAACCAACCTGCGTTATGCTGACACCATCTTGATAGTGACAAGTCAGAAAGAACTACAGGCATTGATAGATACGGTGGTAGTAGAAAGTGATAAAATGGTCCTCAGTTTGAATAATGGGAGTCCCCGTGTGGGTTCCAGGGTCCTGTTATAGGGAAAAATTAATAAACCCACTGCCTACCCAAAAGAATGTCGTAAGAGTCGACTAAGTTGGAGCTTCCTTTAAAGTCAAAGTGCATCTGCCTGAGAGGCAAGGAACCAGCAGTCTGTATAAAAATGAGTCAAATCTGTAAAACATATGCACACGCAACCTCAGGTTCGTAAACAGGACTGCAGTCCAGAAATGGATGAACAACGAGAACTTTCCACCAGAGTTTACAGCTGGTGAACGCAAAGAAGAAGAATAATAACAGGAAGACACTAGTAGTATAGGTGATTTCCAAGGAAAGAATAGTGCCTTAATATATAATAAAAGTCAAAGGCGTTTATTACAGAATTTAAGTATCTAGGTATGTGGAAGACAGCTGATGGAAGTTATATAACTGAGATAAAGAACAAAAAAGGACTAGCCAAAACTGCCTTTTATAAAAATGAACATTTTGTGCAATGAATCCATGTCTTTGGAGATTAGGAAAAGAGTTCCTGCATGCTATATACAGCCAGTTTCAACACAGGTTGGAATCCTGGACAATAAATAAACAAGCCAAGCAACATATTGAGGCCTGTGAGATGTAGTTTTACTGAAGAATCTTTAGAAATTTCTTGACCAGCTAAGAAGAGAACCCAGAAGTTTTGAAAGAGGTGAGTGCTCGAAGACAACTTATTACAAACATCAGAAAGAGACAGTGATCGTTTTTGGTCATGTTATCATGTTATGAGAAGAGGAAAACTGGAACGTGACATGAAGTTAACTTCATTTGCACATGGAATTATACCAAGTGAGATAAATTTAACATGGCCATAATTATTATGTTTTTCTCCTACATCTAAATTGCATAATTATTTACATATATTCACTGTCTAGTGTATTCTGGATTGGAGAATTATCTTATTATCAACAGGTTAAGCGGGTTCAACTAAATTAGCACTTGAACTATTTATTTTTGCATGTAAAATATTCCACAATTTACCAGTGTGCTATATCAATCAATTCAGTCTACAATTTAACCAAAATGATGTATAGTAGCAACTGACAGGATAGCTGGGAAATACTTCAAGATCATTAATCATAGAATCAACTCGAGTACTTGCTTTTTTTTTAGCTGGCCAGTGATGGCAGAAAGAATTCAGGCCAAGAGTAACTATTTTCTCGGACTAACAAATGCAGTTATTTTAAACACCTGTGTTGAAAGGATCATGCCCTAATGAGCTGTATATATTGCACATTTATATCTTTTGGTGTACTGAACATAAAGGTAATTCATATGTTTATGAAAACCATCTCTTCAGCTGGATGCTTACAGTGTAGATGCAATCAAAAGTCAGAATACAGGTACAGCTATGTTTAGTAAGATCAGTGTCAGCAGTCATATATAGTACTAACAATGACATAATATTTTTATTGAGGGATCTGATAAATTTTTGGAAGCCATGTGATGTGCTTAGATTTTGGCAGCAATTTTTTTGTCCAGCATTATTACCTTAATTACTTTGTTTTGTCTTTAATCATTCTATTTTTTCTGAACTGATCTCTTTTGGGAATCTCAATCACTTACTCTTGAGATGGCTACTTAATATTTAGCTGTTGCTTGCATTTCATTGAGATTATTGTTTTTATTCGGTTTTCTCTCTTTAGATTCAGTCATTTATTTTGAGTGTTAAGTAGGTTGGAGATCTATGGTTTGAACCTTGCTACATAAAGTGCCATGTGTGTTGAGTTCTAGTATCATACATATCATCATCATCAGGTGCCCTGCCGACTGGTGTGGGCGATCATGCCTCTCCACAATCCATGATCTCCTGCAGCATATATCACTGACACACCTCCCTGCCATGCAACAAGACTGTCAAAAATCTTCTCTCGTTGTCTTCTTCTATCCCTCCTTTCACAAATATTTTTAGTGGTCACATGTTCCATTTTCCCTAACATGGCCAAAAAAATAATGACTGTCTTCTGATATCTGTGATAAGTTGTCTTTGGGCTCCTCCTCTTACAAAACCTCTTGGTTGCTCTTTTTGGCTGTCCAAGGTATTTTAAGCATTTTCTGAGGCCTCAAGAAATTGTTGGGCCTGCCTACTGATTGTTCAGGACTCACAGCCATATGTTAAAACTGGATGTATCAGCAAGCAAGAATTCTTTTCCTAACTTTTATATTGCATGTTTTTCATTTTATAAAATGCAGTTTTTGCCTGTCCTTTTCTGTTTCTTATCTCAGTAATGCACCTTCCATATGATGTTATCCATGTGCTCAGATACTTTAATATCTGTACTTGTCCCAAAATAACACCATTGACTTTTATTACACATTTAGGAATAATTCTTTTCTTTGATACCATCATTACTTCTGTCTTTCCATTATTCAAACTGAGGCCCATTCTTCCACTTTCTACCGCCACAATGTCTATCCTTTCCAGTAGTTGTTTCTGATGTGTTGGTTTCAAGACTGTGTCATCAGCATAATGTAAATTATTTTTATTATGCCCACCAACCACAATTCAGGGCATATCAATTAAAGTTCTCATTACATACTCACTGTCTAGTGAAAATAAGTTGGGTGACAGTACACATCCTTGTTGTACGCCCCTCTTTTTGCACTGAAATATAAACAGCTGTTAATTCCTATAGCTGCTGTTTGCTTCCAATATATATTCTTTATAATTCATAGATGTGTCCCTTTTGTATAGTATAAGAAGCATAAGTACATATTGTCTTTACTTCTATAGCTCTTTCTGACAATGTCTGTAGGATGTATACGGCGGCATTGTTTGTATCTTTTCCTTCTACAAATCCACATTGTTCATCGCTGATTTCTGGTTCAATTTTGTTTCTTATTCTTCTCATAATTATTCTCAGTAATACCTTAGTCATGTGACTCATAAGACTTATTGTGCAATGGTCTTCACACCCTAAAGTGCCTGGTTTCTTCGGCAGAGCTATAAATATGGATTTTAAAAGGTCATTTGGAATTTACCCAGTTTTATAAATATCATTTAAAAGTTTAGTTTTCATTTCAATTCCAAAATCTCCCAGTGCTTCGATTTCTTCCAGTGAGATGTTGTCTGACTCGGGTGCTTTTCCTTTCTTCATATGATGCAATCATGGCTGCTGTTATCACTTGGTCACAGACACATGTGTGCACACGCATGTACACACACACACATACGTGTTGTGAACGAGCATGCAAACATACACACATAAACAATCATGTTAACCTCTACGACATGCTTGTTAGGGGAAAGTAAGTCTCCCCCCCCTCCCCAGTGGAAGCCAAAACCCCCCCAAAATGAAGCCCAAAATGGGCAGTATATGTATATAATGATAAGTCAGCATGTTTTGAAAAAAGGCCAAGACATGAAGACAACTTGTTACAGACATTTCAAAATGGCAGCCATAATGAAAATGCATTGTGAGAGCAGATGCAGCATGGAGCATGTTGTCACAATTGAAAGAGAGAAACAACAAGAGATGATTCTTGACAGCTTTTTGCCACTGAATGGTAGGGTAAAAGGACCCTTTTTGGCAACTTCAGGCACGTTGAGCATATAGTGAAAGAGCCCTTTCCACGCTTTCAGGCTTATTGGGCATATAGGGCTAGACCTATATTTTTTTAGACCGTTCGG